GTCCGGAGGCTTTGGCTCTCTTGGATCAGAAGAGTCCCGATCCGAAGGTTTTGGCTCTCCAACAGGATCAGAAGAGTCCCGATCCCAAGGTTTTGGCTCTCAAGGATCAGAAGAGTCCGGTGCCACAGGTTGCTCTCCAGAGTCCGCCGCCAAAGAGCCAGGCTCCACCCATGGTTCCCAAACCCAAGGGCCCCCCAGCAGCTTCTGCTCAGCAGCAGACCATGTATGAGGATGGCACCTATTGGAGGACAGACCTATTATAACTAATTAAGATCGAATCCTTGCCCGGTAGCCTTCAAGCTGCCACGATGATGCGATGGACCAAGAACAAAAAGTGCAGCCCTGAAGTCGTGAAGATGTTCGGGGATCCAGACAAAAGTTGCTTGACTATAAAGAGCATAACACACCTGTGTTTGTGTGTGTGTGTGTTGTCTGGGTGGGTGGGTGGGTGGGTTTGTGTGTATTTGTTGTGCGGGTCTGGGTTGTGCGGCTGTGTCTTCTTGGGGGTCTGGGTGGGTTTGCCGGTGGAGGACTAAATGGACAGATGGAGTGGGCGAGCTTTTGTTTCCTGTAGGATTGATTCCGAGTGTGGGTGGTATTGTTTCCTGACCCAGGAGAGGAATTGAGGCAGCTCCTGCTCAAGCACGGAGAGATGAAAGATGTCGAGGTAGAGGTGAAGCGCTGGAAGCAACAGGAGCAATCTGAGAAGACGAAGGGTGGCAGCCACACGGATGCCAGCTTGGCTCTGATGGGGTGGAGCGAGCACCTTTTATGCAATCAGCAATGAAGTGCGGGGCAAACATGCATATGGTGAGTCATCCTGGCCCTATACCTTGTAAGGACCATGATCAAGAACTCAAAGGAATGGGCTCGTGCCAGAGGTCTCCTTTGGGTGAGTGAAGTCCATGGAGCTGAAGAATGGAAGATTCCGACGGGCTATGAGTTCGAGTTTTCGAAAAAGAGTGGCACGAGCACCACGCACACCACAGGTGGGATGTTCGAGGACCGTGCTGTTGCAAGTGAGGTCGTGCAAGCCGAGAGGTAACCGTGTGGTACGTCTGCCTAAATATTGTTATTACGGCAAATCCGCAGGACGAGGACGGTTTCATGCTGGAGGACGATGATCCAGATGCCAAGATGGAGGAGCTGGTTGTGAGCCTTGGCTACGTTTTAAATAATGCAGCACGGGCCTACCAGCCCGAACCTGCAACAAGCTGTGCAACCCGGAGCCGTGTGTCCCTGACATGTTTTGGCCAAGGAGAAAGCCGCACAAAGGTGCTGCTGCATCGAGTGCAGCCTTGGCTGCCAGTTCAAGTGCAGCGAATGCAAAGACGCTTGCTCTGCCGGTTTTGCAAACGAATTCCGACCCCTTCAGCAACTTAGCTTGAAGTTTCCAATTTCGAGTCGATGTACACAATCTCCGGAGCATTCATGATGTTTAAAAATTATACCTCAGGTATGCTTTCGCAGTATGTGGATGTGATGGGGAAAAAAATCGACAAAGCGGAGGAGCTGAAGGTGCTCGTGCGATCAGAAGGAAGGAACTGCTTGTTTTTGTTGCCTGAACTAAAATAACAGGAGAAGATGCAGTCCTACAAGTGTGATCGGGGAGATAGGCCTGCTTCAGGGATCCATGTGTAACGGTTTTTGTGCTCTGAGACAAATCAAACTTCTTGTCATCCCGAGCATTCGACCTATATTCCTTGCGAGGAAGGCCGAGGAGATCCACGACAAGGTGACCGCGATGCAGACAGTTCTCAGTCAGCTGCAGGAGCTGCAGGATGAAGAGTTCGATTCAGATCATGTTGCAAGCAGGCAGGGTTTTGACAATGAATCGAGAGCATAATGGTAAGGATTGTAAAGGTTGCTAGCTATGCTCTGGTAGAGGCTGTTACACAAGAAAGGTCATGGGTACTTTCAGTCTTCTGCCAATTGCAGGGAAGGTTGTCAGATTCAGTGTGGTAGTGATACAGGTTGTAGTATTGAGACAGCCATGTGCTGGAATTGGTAATCGCTCAATAGAAATTATGGTGATAAGGTCGATAAATATAGTATATGTAGCGAAATACAATTTAAATAGATTTCAGCTATACTCGTCTAGTGTCGTCTAGGGCATATAGTATATAGAGTAGATAGGAACAGACTGCTAATCTTGACATACACATGGCATGCAGCAGGGCAAGGTGCATATATGCATATGTGCCTCCTTAGTTTGGTCATGCATGCCTTTACACATCTATCGTTTCACTTGTCTCTAGCACATCTATATAATGTTTGTCCATCTATCTAGCTAGGTTTGTTGCTGTCCTCCAATGCTCCTTATCCTTATCCTTATCCTTATC